CGGCCAGGTCAGATTGTAGGAACTGCCAGCAGCTGAAGGTGTAGATTGGGGACAGGACAAGGGAGCTCGTGGGGCATCAGCAATGAGTTGCTGGGCATGTGCTTGGGGGAGTGAGAGTGGAGATGATTCTCACCTATCTTTACATTCAGGGCACAACCATGTTCTGTCCAGGAAGGGAACCAGGAGAGCACAGAGCTGCTGTTGCTGCCACCCTTTAAAACCACACCTGGCCCTGCTCACAGACACATCTGGCCCTGCTCACAGACACACCTGGCCCTGCTCACAGACACACGCCCTGCTCACAGACACCCCTGGCCCTGCTCTCAGACATACCTGGCCCTGCTCACAGACACACCTGGCCCTGCTCACAGAAGAACCTGGCCCTGCTCACAGACACACCTGGCCCTGCTCTCAGACACACCTGGCCCTGCTCACAGACACACCTGGCCCTGCACACAGACACACCTGGCCCTGCTCACAGACAAAGCTGACCTTGCACACAGACATGTGAACTATTCATTCATTTGCAGCTAGGGTTCAAGGTCTGGAGAAGGGGCTGCACACAAACGGATACACTAGACAAGAAATATAAATTTAGAAGGCATGGGGAGCCAGGTGGAGACTTTACTCTCTAGCTGAGAGGCTCTCTGACTTCTCAGTCCCCTTTGCTTTTATTTACTAGAATACACGTTTGCCCTTTAGCAAAGCAAACAGGCATATCAATGGTAAAGTTTGGTAAACAATATCAGGTTAGGGCTGTGGTCGGCAAACCGCGGCTCGCGAGCCACAACTTCGTGGCCCATGCGAAGAAGTCGGTATTTTGTGGAAGAGCCACACTCAAGGGGCCAAAGAGCCGCATGTGGCTCGTGAGCCACGGTTTGCCAAGCCGCGGTTTGCCGACCACTGGGTTAGGGGATTGCCTTCAGCCATTTGGCCAAAACAGGGCAATATTATGCTGATTTTCAGTCCTTGCTGAATATCAAAGTCCATTAGCCTTCCAGTGGACTTCTTGCATAATTATGCTAACTACTTGTTGGTCTTAGCCTCTGACACAGGCACACCTGGCCCTGCTCACAGGCACACCTGGTCCTGCTCACAAACACTGGGTCCTTTGGCAGGCATGTCACTAACACAAATTTTCATTCCTCCTGTTTGGGGTGCTGTGTGCTAATGTTATGTGGCAACTGTGACTATCACCTGTTGTGGGTGTGTCCTGTGTCACCTTTTCTATAGGTTTTGCCTCAGGCTGTCAAGTCTCAAGCATGTTCAGGAAGAGTCATTCTGAAATGGGGCCTAGTTTATTCTGGAAATTGGGACCTTGTCATGGCCATCTTTGGAGCATCTATACCCTGTGAGGGGGTGGGGGGCCAGGGAGACCATGTGATATCTGAGAGACAGCCCACCCAGTGGTGAGGCAGCCCCTGGAGCCTGGTGGTCAGCCAGGGGCAGGTGTTCCCAGGTTCAGATGGGTCACCTGGCCAGGAGCTTCTGTTTGACTATTTCCCCGGGTGGTTGCCTTCTGGGTACCCAGCGCCTGCCCCTGTATCTCATGCTGCTCCGGTCTGTAATTCAACCTTTTGACTGCCCTGCCCTCTCTAAGCCTCCTTTAAAAATGCAAATCCGGTAACACAGTCTGCCCCACACCCAGTGTATCAGTTCCCTCTTGATCCCTCTAGGACATCGCCTGCCCCGCCTCAAGCAGGACCTGGGGAAGGCTAATGGCTCCCCCAGAACTGGACGTACTGGCTCCCCACACCTTACCTGCCTCCCACCTACTCTTCTCCCTGTCCCTTGCTGTCCTGTTTGACACCATCAGAGCCCAGAGCTGCTGAGGGGCTTGCTGGTGTGGTCCCTGCCAGGAGGGATCCTGTTGGGGCTGCTTGGTCAAAGGCCCAGGGTTGGGGAGGGACACAGCTCTCATTCTCCTGCCCAGGGACCCCTGAGGCCAGCAGGAGAGGGGTCCCAAGGGAGCCCAGCTCTTGGCTGGGAAAGTAGGTCCCACCTCCCGTCTGCCTCCCTGCCCCTCTGTGCATTCCTCCTCCTCCCTTTCCACCCCCCAAGCACACATAACATCCCTAAGAGTTGGAGGTCTTTCCAGGGAAGCAGATGAGAGAGGCCCAGGAGAGAGACTGGGTTTTCACCTGGAGCCAGGGGCCATGGACCATGAAATAAAACAGACCTTGACTCACTGGGGCTTTCCTGAGTTGTTGGAAAATCCTTACATTGAAGAAACAGGAACAGAGCCTGCTGGGCATCCAGGCTGCCATGTCTGTGGCCAGTCAGAGTGATACCTGATCAGTCTCCACTTCTACCTACACTGCCTTGTGCCTGTAAGGGGAATATTGGCCAGGGAGGGGTCAGCTCCCCTGGTAATGCAGGACACACATCTGGCAACACAGGACACCTACCTGGGCATACAGGGCACACATCTGGGCATACAGGACACACACCTGGAGATGCAGGATACTCACCTGGGGGGTGCAGAGTACACACCTGGAAACACAGTACCCACCTGAGAATACAGGCCACACCTCAGAGAATGCTTTATTTGGTGGGTTGGCATTTTGACTTCCTGGCAGCCTCTTCCTCTAAGTGACTTTAGTTTTCATTATGTGGAAAGTGGATGGCACAGGTGGGAATGGGCATGGAAGGCCACCCTGGGTTCAGACTCACCTCACTCCCCAGAAACCGTGGGCGCAGGAAAGCAGAGGGGAACCACAGCCTCCATGGGAAAGGGGGAGGGAGGAGAGGAGCCAGGTAGGTGGGGTGCTGGAGGCTGGCCCTTGGAGGGAGGCCCCTGCATGCAGGCTGTCATCACTGGTACAGAAGGGCTCTCTGGACACCCCTGTATCCCAGTAGACCTCTGCTGGAGCCCTCGGCTTCTTTTTAAATTAAATTAATTATTATTACACTAGAGGCCCGATGCACGAAGATTCGTGCAAGAATGGGCCTTCCTTCCCCTAGCTGCCAGCACCGCCTTCGCTCTGGAGCCGTCTTTCCGCCTTCCCACGCTGCCTAGAGGCCCAGAGCAGCTGGGGTGGTGCAGAACTCCTGCTCAGTGCCTGCATATGCAAATTAACCCACCATCTTTATTGTGTTAATTTGCATATTCACTCCTGATTGGCTGATGGGTGTTGCGAAGGTGTGGTCAATTTGCATCTTTCTCTTTTATTAGTGTAGATCGTTGTGGAACTAGCACATGGATTTACTGGGGCAATTCAAACAGAAGGATGTGACCCCTTCCCTCCACCCCAGCCTCCCTCAGTCTTTCTAGCAGCTCCAATGCTTCTCTCTCTAGTCCCCATGGTTGGCTTTCCCAGAGTGGGGTGCGTGATTTCTGCTCTCCCATGCCCTGCATCTCCATACAACAAACAATAGTCTTGGAGATCTTCCCCCACCACACATAGGGGCTAACTCCTGTTATTTTTGTTAAAGTAATTTTTAAAATATTTTACTATGATCATGCATTTTCATAGTAAAACAAAGCGGAAACCCAGAACAGAGAGCTGTGTTCTGGGTCTTGTGGCCGAGTTACCTCTGCAGCTTCAATGTCACAGACTGAACGGTTGGCAAGGGTGAGGGCAGCAGGGGCAGCGAGGGTGTGGCAGGGGTGGGGAGGTGCCCTGCTCCACCCACCTCCCACTTGGGTCATTGCTCCAGGCCCCTTCTGTCTACCATCACTTCAAACGTCTCTGAGCTGATCCTAAGTGACAACCCATCAACACACACAGACACAGTCCTAAAATGGCATTGAAGGCAGAGGCACACCGCCTGCAGCCACAGCTCCAGAAGGAAGCATGGCAGGTTGAAGCCGCCCGCCACCTGGTGAGAAAGGCCCTGGGCCTGCCGCCCCCAGGGCTGAGGTTAGAGGCTCCTGTTCATTTCCTGGACTTTCCTGGCCTCCTTGACCCTGTCTGTCTGCTCTTCCCAAACTCTCCCCCAGGTGCCCCTCCCAGTGCTGCCTGCCCACTCTGGGCGGGCCTCCTGCACCCTCCTCAGGGTTAGCCGTGGATTCTCGCTGCACTGATTGCCACCAACAGCCTGCTTGACAAGTGTGACAGAGCACCCAGCTCATCTGTGCGCAGCCGTCCGGCCCCTCACCCCAGGGGCCGTGGTCTGAAAGGGCTTTTTTCTTCAGCACCTTTAAAGCATGGACCCCTTTCTTCTGCTGCCCAGGGTGGCAGATGGAGACCAGGTGGGGTCTTCAGTATGGGAGCAACCTCAACTGTCCGGTGGGATTCAGGGCAGCATCCGTGGCAGACGCTTCGTGCATAGCAGCCACGTGCCGGCGCCTTCCTGCGCATCCAGCCTCCACTCAGGCTCCCCCTCCAATTCGTCTAAAATCACACTCACCATTGCCCTCTTACCTGCCTTCATTCTCCTCGGTGCACCTGTCACTACCTGATGTCATACCATTTATGTTTGTTTACCTCTTTATTGCCCGTATCCAGCTGGAAAGTAAAGCTACGACAGCAGAACTTTTTCACATCTTATTCCATCCCTCTCACTTTTTCATGGACTCGTTAAAGCCCCATGCCCAGCACGAGTTGGGCCGAGGGATGTGCGGTGCCTGAGCAGGTTGGTGTTCACCCCCTCCCGGCCGCCCCTGGTGTCCTTTATCCGCGGGATCCCTGGGGGCTGAGGCTCTCAGAGAGCCCACTCTGCGTTCCAGGATCAATGTATCTGTTCAGCATGTGCTCAGAGCACTTCACAGGGATTCGTTTTGTTCTTGTCATTGGTGGGGTGCCCAGTCCCGCCTCTTGCTGTTGTTTCCCTGGAGGGCTGGCTCAGCCCCAGTGTGTGTGTGTGTGTGCACATGTGTGTGTGCATGTGCGTGTGAGTGTGTGTGTGTGTGTGTGTGTGTGTGTGTGTGTGTGGGGGGGGGGGGGGGGGGGGGGGAGGGGCTTTGGGGAGGAGCCCTGGCTTCCCCCATCCAGGTTCTTGCTATAAAATAGTGCTGCTAAGAAAGCTGCAAAATACAGAAAAGCACAAGAAGAATGTCCACAGTTCCACCAGAGCCAGCGATCCCCAAAGCACACAGGGGTGCTTTCTTCTCACGATACGGCACTTCCTGGACCATGCACTGAGCTGGAAGCATCACAGGAGGTTTCTTCCTTTTTGACCAAGTTGAATGCACGTGCACATTCCCACAAGTCAACTCATGCTTCTAGTAACTGCTGAGCCATGTTTCCTTCCTGGGCACCGAGTGCTGAAGAGATGCTCAGCCGACCCCTCAAGAAGCTCCTGTTTCAGACAGAGAAATAGTGTCAGCAATAAACCTGGAAGCGATTCTGCCGCCTCCTGACTCCTTACCTTGGCACTGGATTCCTTGGAGGGATAGCGCTCCTGCCCCGCCCCTGAGCCCTGTGGGAAGCCGGAAGTGCTGTCCAGCTCTCACTCACACCCAGAGCAGGCTGTGCTCCATCACCGGGGGTCCAGGATCTCTCTCAGCAGCAGGTGCACTTTTTGCGCCATCACAGAGGATGGGGGACAGAGTGGGACCACAGGCCCCGAGGCCCCTGAGAACATCCAGTCCAATGGTGGAGGGCATTTGACTTCTTCCTGTTGGGAATCTGTAGGATCTTGAGTTCAGCAGGGCCACCAGGACCCACCCCCCCCACAATGCCCAGTCGCCCATCTTCCTCTGTCCTAAAGGGTGGTGAGAAGATAGATTGGGGATGTTCAGTGAATGGCAGAGCTGTGAGCAAGCTTGCACAGACTGCCCCTGGATTGTGTGTTGTGTGCCAGTGGGTCCCGAGTTCTGTCCTCTCATTGAGCCCCAGCAGTGACCTTTCTCAGGGAGGCAGACAGAGATGAGCCACTCCTCAGGGACCCATGGGGATCTTACATGTGGCTGGGCATCTCGGGGTCTTGCCCTGGCCGTGGCCTGATGCAGTGGGAGGCTGCATGGCTGCATTGCGTCCTGTGCTCATGAAACCCGCTAGAGGCAGCACGGGCTCCTATCTTCTGAGCCCCCGGGGACCCAGCCCAGCTTTGGGGATCTGGCACCTCACAGAGGCAGAGCCTCACGGGCAGGTCAGTGCAGACTCCCCATCTCCCCACACAGGACCCTCAGTGGTGGCTTTCCCCCAGTGCATGCAGTCCCCCACCCCCCTGCGCCTGGCTGACACCCTGGGGTGTCCCTCTCCCACTCGCAGGGGGGCAGCAGGCTCAGCCCTGAGGTGAGGGTAGCAGCCGATTCTAGATACCCCCTCCTCAAGGATGGCATCACTCTATGGACCCCAGGAAGGACGTCTTTCTGGGGAGTCACCCAGCAGGTGTGGCCCAGGGAGGAGACTTTGATGGGGGAGTGACAAGGAAGGGGCCCTGAGCCCCAGGTGTCTGAGCTGGGTGCACTACCCATGGCCCTGCCAATTGTGGATGGCTTTGACTATTTGGGGTCCTTAACCCAGCAATGGCTGGCAGGGTGCTGGTGCTTGAGGGGCAGTGTTGTGTTCAGCAGCAGGACAAATGCTCACCATCCTGCTGTGGCCTCTGGGTGGGGGTTCTGCCTCCTCATGCCCAGGGCTCGGCTCCAAGGGGCCCCAGGGGCCCTGCTACATCCCGGGTGCCTGCCAGCCTCCTGTCCTGTGAGTGAGCTGGAGGAGCCTTGGGCAGCGGCCCCGAAGAAACAGAATAACCCCTTTCTTCTCTCCTTTCTCCACCAGAAACATGGCCGACAGCAAGGCCAAGCCCACCAAGGCTGCCAACAAGACACCCCCCAAATCCCCAGCGGACTCTGCAAAGGACAAAGCAGCTAAGAGGCTGTCACTGGAGTCAGAAGGTGCCAACGAGGGGGCGGCCGCCTCGGCCCAGGAGCTCAGTGCCCTGGAGGAGGCCTTCCGGCGGTTCGCGGTGCATGGGGACACCAGAGCCACCGGGAAGGAGATGCACGGCAAGAACTGGTCGAAACTGTGCAAGGACTGCCAGGTGATCGACGGGAAGAACGTGACTGTCACCGACGTGGACATCGTATTCAGCAAAATCAAGTAAGTGAGCCGGGCTCTCTCACCACAGAGCCAGCTTCCCGAAGGCCTGTGGTCAGCCAGGCCACAATCCGGGGTCTGCTGGTGGATTTGGTATCTTAACGGGCTGTGAGGAAGTGTGATGCTTCAGGATCCTTCCCTTCCCAGAATCAGATGCCCAGGGATTGGAACCAGGGCAGGCTGCCTTGGGGTGAGCTGGGACCGGGGGAGGGGGGCACTGCCCTGCCCTCAGGAGCTTGGAGGGGTCTCAGTGGCAGAGCTCCTGGCCCACTGTGGGCTGAGCCTGAGAGGTGCCGCTCTGAAGCCTGTCCCCCAGGTCTGACCTGCATCTCGCCTGCCCCTGCCCGCGGCCCCTCTGTGGGGCTCCCCTTTCCTTTGGGAGTGATGGCACCTGAAGAAGAGTGTGGGTGACAGAGCAGTTAGCACCTGAGTCTTCAGCTGTGGCCCAGTGACTGTGAGCAGTGTGCTCGTGTGCTTCCTCGTATGCACATACATCTGTGTGCATGCAGGTGTATGTTCCTGTGCATCTGTGAAGACACGTGTGTGTGTGCATGTACATGTGCTCCTGCACACACCCTTTCTGCTGGACATTGGGAGCGTATCCAGGAAAGGTTACACACACCTGCTTCCCTTTCCACTGGGCATCTCTGGAGCATGAAAATATTCTCCTGCCCTCTGCACCCATGAGCACACGTGGGGAAATGAACAGCACCCCCAAGGCCATCAAGCGTCCAGCCCTCTCTATCCAGGTCATACTTGTTGCCAGAAAATGGCTTTATTTCAATTTATTTTTGGCCTGTGTCCATCGAGGCTGGTGTGATCCTTTAGTTATATGTTGCTGTGACCTTGCCATCTTTCATCTCAGATGCCCCCACGCCCTCCCTGCTGATGGCCTGGCTCCTCCCTCCCTCCGTCCTCCTCTGAGCACAGAGGCAGTGAAAAAGAGTTTTTCTTTGCACCCCCAGAGCCTATGACTTCATGACCCCACTTTGCTTGTGGAAATGTTTGGTGTATCTCCATCATGGTGAGGTCTCCCCAACTCCCCAGCCTGACATACCATCCACACAACCACGCCAGGCGATGGGCCAGTCACCATGGAGCCACGGGCCAGCCCTCCTGGGGTTGGCTCATTCCCACCAAGTGGGAGGTTGCACGGGGTGGCCTGGCTGGGGCAGGGTAGAGGTGGCCCCACAAGTGGTCCCTGAGGGCCAGCCATCAGGACCCAGTCACCACCAGCACAGGAGACTGGCATTCGCCAGGTAGAGGGACTCGGCCTCTCAGTCTCACCTGAACAGATGGAGGAACATTGCAGATTTACTACAGTCGGGCCAGAGCCCCAACGACACAATAGCACAGGGTATGGGATCCTGGTGGATGCTCCATTTCCTGTGAGCCTGTGCCTTCTCAAGGCCTAGGGTTAGAGAAGGGTGTGGGGCCAGGAATTGAAGGAAGGGGTGGTTGCCGGTAAGGAGGTGGGATGCAGGTGAGGAGGAGGAGGAGGGCACAGGTGTGGAGGGGAAGAGGAAGTGGGAACCTGTGAGGTGGAGCAGGAGCTGGGCCAGGTGAGGAGGAGGAGCTGTGGCAGGGCCTGGGATGAGGCCCAGCATGGGCCCTCTGTCCAATTCCTGGGCAGGTTCTCCAGGCCTTTAGCATTGGTCTTTGTAAACCCAGTGTGTCCAGGAGAGAAAGAGGGACAGACCCAGGAGCAAAGGAACCCCGAGAGCTGTGTCTGTGGGGGGTGTTACGGAAGGGCTGGAGGCAGGTGAGATGAGTGTTGTGTCCAGGGACAGGTCACCCCACCAAGGAGTGCCACAGGTTCCCACACCCTTGGCACCGGCCTAGACATGCAAAGTGTTGGGGCAGGTGGGGACAATTCTTCTTTCCTCGCTCTTAATTCCTTCTGCAGTGAATTGCCTTTAAGCTATTGCATGCAGGCATGTACACACATGTGCACACAGGAGCTCACATATGTGTACACAGACCTGCCTGTGCACATGAGCTCACAGTGCGCGTGCACACATACACACACACACACATATGAACAATACATGCAGGTGCACACAGGTAGAACTCAGGCTGCCCATATCCTTGCAGGGGGAGAAGTGGCAAGTGTGGTGGTGGCTCGTTCAGAAGACAGCTGCCCTGGACAAGCCCAGAAACCCTGTATGCAGGAGGCATGTGCACCCCATTACCCACATGGGGGGCACTGGCTTCAAGGAGTGAGTGGGCACCAGGAAGGACTCCATCTGCTCCCCATGTCGATCCTGGGAGGCAGGATGACAGCTGCTTGGATTCAGGACTGAGGTGTGGACCTCAGCTCCTGGGCATGGTGGGCCCCCCATTGCAGATCCCAGGACTATTCGTGGTCCCCTGGTATCCCTGCCTCAGGTCACTTTAGGGGACACGGAATGGGAGAACGGGTAACTGTGGCCTGGCCCGGTGAGGGGTTGTGGCCACTACACAGTGAAGACCAGTTTGTAGTGGCTACAGGGGCCCCCAGAAGGGATCAGGGAACCCCCTGCCTGGGTGGCTTGCTGGATACCACAGGTTACAGTAGGAGGGACTCACGCCCTTGTCCCTGGGTGGGAGAGGTGGACAGTGCCCTGGGTAGGGTCACAGGATCCTGCAGGACGGGCCGAGACCTCAAAGTTGCTGACTTGGTAGAGAAGAGCAGCTCTTCTGTTTGGGGGTGGTTGCCAGGGCTCTGGGCGGTGACGCCAGCCAGGGTATCTGCAGCCTTTGTTTAGGTCCTGTCGCCATGGCAGTGCCTGTTTGTTTTGATGTTACTATGTGTTAAATTTTAAACAAATTTCTTGCAGCTCTATACCAGGTCTAGATGGAAGACTATTGTTACCTAGACAAAGACTCCGACATCCTCCACGCCCCAAAGGACAGATGATGGTCAGTCTGAAAGATTAATTAGTCAGGACCTCATATGCACAAGCGGGAGGGTCACCCTGACAGTCCCATTTGGGGGGCCATGGACGGCACCATCCCCTTCTGTCCTGTCTGCATGTGTGGGGTCAGGCATGCGGTTCCCACCCTGCAGGTGGAGAGGACAGACCAAGGGGGCAGAGGAGGGCGGGGTCTCTGCTGCAGCCTCTCCTGACCCATGCACATGCCTGTCTGGTCGGTGCTGTGTGCATGCAGAGAAAACAACCTGTTTCTCGTGACACTGGTGCAGGGAGACAGCTCAGCCCCTGTGTCTGGCATCTGGGTCTCAGGTTAGAAGGAAGCAGGTGGGCGGGGCTCCCTGTCACTGAAGACTTGGAAAGCTGCCCCATTCTTGCCACACACGCTACAGTCAAAGCCAGGACACATGGAAATTGTCTGAAGCAGGGGCTCCTGGGCCATGGGTGTGCACCCCAGAGGCTCAGCATAGAAGCACAGGCCTGGGGCCTAGATGCCATCCAGTGGTGTCCAGAGCCCAGAGCAGGCTGAGCCCATAGTAGGAGCCCCAGCAAGGCTCGAGTGTGGGGTGGGGTGTCACCGAGAGCTGATATGGCCACACTCCGGGAGGAAGGGCAGCCCCTGCCCCTCCCTCCAGGCTGGCGGTGTGGTTGGGGCATTGGGGTTGGTGCACCCAGTCCCCCCTCCCCCCTGTGCTTTCAGCTTCGTGTTGGGGTCTCCCAGTGTCAGGGTGGCTGTGGTGGGAGTGCTTCTCTGTGGGGCCCTCTGGTGACCACTGGCAGCAGTGCAAGGCGTCCACCGGGCCTCTGGGCCCTGCCCCTCCCCGGGTAAGTCCAAGCCACCTCAGGCTTGGACCAGGCAAACAACGAAGTTAGGGTTAGGAAGAACCCTGAGGGTGTTTTCTCCTCCTTAGGGGAAGTAACTGAATGTGGTGGGCAGGAGGGGTGGGCAGGTCACAGCTGTCCCTTCAGGCAGGTCGGGGCCATCTGCAACCAGACCTACGATTTGAGTGGCTATCAGCTGGGTCTGCACTCGGCTCTGCACCTGCTGGGGCCCAGGCAGGCAAGGTGGTCAGTGGAGGGAGTGGCTCTGGCCAGGGGTGAGGGCGAGTGTCTGCCAGGAGAGCCCTCCCCGAGCATAGCAAGCAATCCTCCAGGCAGGGCTCCCCGAGGGGTGCGTCCCCCCCAGACAGCTCCTCCAGGTGCCCCCACATCTCGCTGGCCCAGGGGATGATGGGAATGCTACCGAGGCTCCCAGCTCTCTGACCTTCATCAGTGCCTTAGATCTCCCCCTCGACACCCCACTTCCTGCCCACAGTGGCATCCTGGCTGCTCTCTGGACAGGGCGCCAGGTCCCAGCTGCTGCTGGTCAGGGGAGCCTGGGAGAACCAGCACTTTTTCCGGCACTCCCACCCCTCCACCCTCAATGGCCCAGTAGGCTGGACGCTGCCCCTCAGAGAGGGGCCTGGGAGAGTGCAGTTCGCTCTGATACTCGGTGCTGGCAAGGAGGGCATGGGGGTCATGGTGGGTGCTCCATCCTGGGCGCATCCTGGGTGTTGGCCCTGGAGACACACAAGCCTGGGTCTGTCCTGGGAGGGCTGAACTGGCCCGAGTGTCCCTGGGTGGCCTTCAGGAGCAGCCCGCCCAGCCCCTCCTTGCTTGCCCTGAGTTGGGCCTGGAGGCCCAGGGGACGCAGGGGCCTCGCGTCTGGCTTTCCAGCAGAACAACAGCCTCTGAGTAGGGCTGTGGGGGTGGAGGGCTGTGGGGACACCTCTGTGTGCACTTGGGAACAGGCTCGCTCTGTGTGGACTGCAGCGTGATGTGATCCCATCCCCAGGGAAGCGCCTGGCATTGTCACCGTAGAACTCCCTGGGGACTCTCTCAGCAGGAGGGCACCAGGTCCCCTGGGGAGGGCTCCAAGACCCACCCACCGGCCACAGAGGGATCCTGGGGGACACCTGGCCCGGCCAGGTGGAGCGGCCAAGTCAGGGACCTGGGCCAGTGTGTCAGCCCAATCTGAATGCGCCCTTTGACGGGAGTCCCTGTGGGCCACCCCCCACCCTGGCCGGAGTGACTCACCCTGGTGGCGCCTGGTGCCGCAGTGCCCAGAGAGGGCTGTGCGCTCTAGCGGCTGGTCACCGGGCCAGCCGTCAGGCCTGGTGTCCACATGCCAGCCTGGGCAGGCCGTGAATAGGAGACAGGAGTGCCTGTGACAGCCCAGGACAAACAGGCCCCCTCGGGCCCCAGAGGTTACCCACCAGCAGGGTCAGGAGTAAGACAAGAGTCTGTGTTTACACCATTCCAGGCACCTCAGGCTGAGGGCAGCTTCCCTGGAATGCCCTCCATGCCCACAGACTTCGTGCATTTGTGGATGCTGTCTGAGAGCTTTGAGGGGCAGAACCCACCACCAAACACTGTGGGTCTAAGGAAACCCCAATCCAGCACGTTACCCAGCCCCTGCCCTGTGGTCCTTGTCCATGCAAACGCCCTCGGGTCAGGTGGCTCTGAATGTGCCTGAGGGCCCATCCCTCCTGCCTGAATGGTCTCCCTGAGGGTGAGGTTGGGCTGCAACCTCCAATCAGCAGTCTCCTGCCCATGGGCCTGTCAATCAGCATGGACCAGGTCTTCAGACACATGTGTAACGAACGTGGGAGGGAACCCCTGTGCTTGCTGGGGGCATGCTTGTCCATCCGTTGCTGAAGGGCAGGGGCTGTTTCTGGGTCTTGGTGACTATGAGCAGAACTGTGAGTAGGGAGGCAATAATGCATGAGCTTGTCTTCATTGCTCTTGAGTGAGAACTCAGGAGTGGGTCTTGGGGTCATGCCATAGGTGTGACCTTTAAGAAACTGCCAGGCAGCCTTCCACAGTGGCTGCTACGCTGTGTCCCCACCGGCTGCGTCGGACGGACCCCAGAGCCCCGCATCTCCCCAGCACTGGGGATGTCGCCACAGTCCTCTAGTCACTGGGGCCCCCTGTGGTTGTACGGCGTCTCCCCTGGAACTGACAACGTGGTCTCTCCATGTGCTTGTTTGCCACCCACCAATCTTGGTGAAGTGTCTGGTTCAAATATTTTGTCCAATTGTTTACACTGGATTTCTTCTTCTTGTTGCGTTTTCAGAGTTCTTCATATATTTCCAATACAGTCCTTTATCAGACATGTTGTGCGAGTATTTCTCCCAGTCTGTGGCTTGTCTTTGCATTACAGTGTTTTTTGAATAGTTATAAAATAGTTATAAAATTCATCCTTTTTTTTTGGATGGACTGTTTTCTGGTCTCATTTCTAAGACATCTCTGTCTAACCAAGGTCATAAGTATTTTCTTAGATGTTGTTCCAGAAGTTCTATAGTTTTAGGTTTATAATAAGTTTAGACTGACCCACGTTGAGTTAGCCTTGGTATATGGTGTGAGGCACAGATTGACTTTTGAATAGTTATAAAATTCATCCTTTTTTTTTGGATGGACTGTTTTCTGGTCTCATTTCTAAGACATCTCTGTCTAACCAAGGTCATAAGTATTTTCTTAGATGTTGTTCCAGAAGTTCTATAGTTTTAGGTTTATAATAAGTTTAGACTGACCCACGTTGAGTTAGCCTTGGTATATGGTGTGAGGCACAGATTGAAGCTCATTATTTTACGCGGATGTCCAGTTAGTGAAAGGTGATCCTTGCTCCGTTGAATAGCCTTTGCTCTTTTGTGGAAAACATGTTTGCCATTTTGAACTGGGGAAGATCCAGTCAAAATGGCAAAAATGCCTTTTTAGTTAAAATGATAAAAGGTGAAAAGCCAGTTTAGAGCATTGGACTGACCTCCCTTGGGAAACTCTGAGCTGTCACCGGTGCGTCTGGATGAAGGGTTGCACGCAGCCCCTGCCCAGCCCTGTGGCTCACTGTGCTGCTCATCTGGACTGGCCCTGGTCAGGCTGTGTGGCCTCTGGGCAGGGGGCAGCAGGGTCCTGGGTGGTGGGCCTGATGTGCGGGCCCTGGGCACACCTTGCCGGGTATCCTGGGAGTGCCCCGCTCTTGTCCCTGGGTGGTAACCATGACCCAAGACTGCCTGCCAGCCAGGACCAAGGCCTCTTCCCTGTTGTTCAGATCTGACGGGCTTCTCACCCTAACTTTTCTTTGAAAGTCCTCCCAAGTGGAGGCCACACACATGCCCCATTTAGAACCAGACAACGGCTCTGTTTTAATGTCCAGTTGTTCATAAAGGATGTGCTTCCTTTAAGCTTTTTTCCAAGACAATTTATATTTGCTGCTGTTGCCAATGGCGACTGACTGTTGGGGGTAAACACTGCAGGGGGAAGGGCATGTTCTGTGTTTTAATGTTAGACTCACTTTCTGGTGTGGGTCCCCCGATGTCAGTGGATGCCCAGGCAGGGTTAGGGTTCCCCAAGGTCACTGGGTCCTGGGTCCGGTGCCCAAGTCCCCTCTCCCTGCAGGGGCAAGTCCTGTCGGACCATCACGTTTGAGCAGTTCAAGGAGGCGCTGGAGGAGCTCTCCAAGAAGAGATTCAAGGACAAGAGCAGCGAGGAGGCCGTGCGAGAGGTGCACAGGCTCATTGAGGGCAAGGCCCCCATCATCTCAGGAGTGACGGTGAGCAGGGCCACTGGGTGGGTCCCTTGGGAAATAGGGTCCATGGGGTCGTGGGGACAGATGGCAGTGGCCTAAAGACGGGGTGAGAGCCTTAATCCCCAGTGTGGGCCGGCCCAGGCCACCTCCCCGGGCTAAGTTGAGAGTGGATTCCAGGAGCATTAGCACCCCTTGTGGTCGGACCTAGCCCCTTTGGTTTCCCTCTCTGGCTCCCTGACAAACCCATTCTTTCTCCTGAGGCGTGATGGCAGTTAACCTCTCTCCCTGCTCTCCTGCAGAAAGCCATCTCCTCGCCCACCGTGTCACGGCTCACGGACACCACCAAGTTCACAGGCTCCCACAAGGAGCGCTTCGACCCATCAGGCAGGGGCAAGGGCAAGGCCGGCCGCGTGGACCTGGTGGACGAGTCGGGCTACGTGCCAGGCTACAAGCACGCGGGCACCTACGACCAGAAGGTGCAGGGGGGCAAGTAGCCAGTCCCCCAGGGACAGGGCCTTCCTCCTTTGCTGGCCCCACATCACCTCACACTTCTTTACATTCCTGGGCTCACTGGGGCAGAACTCAGACGCTGGGGTGGAGGGGCTGTGGGTGACTCCCAGACCTCCTCCTGCCTGGAGCCCCGGCACGCTCCTCTCCTACCCCAGGTGCAGCCCCTGAACTCACTGACCTTCCTCTAATGCACCTGCCTCATCCCACGTTGGGAAGTCAACGGATGGTCATTTCCAAAGTGTTTCCTGGATCCAGACCACACAGGCCACCTGGTTTGCAGGTGAAAGGGGTGTTTTGAAGGAGCAGGTGGGACAGACCCTGCCAGAGGTGATGCTGACCTCCTGACCAGCAGACCTGCCCAGGAACCATGAGGGCAACATGCACTAATGCACTAACCAGCAGCACCAGGGAGACTACGTGAACCTCGAACAGGACACAGGGACGTCTCTGAGGGCTCCGTTCAGATGTGCGACACATAGGTGCATGCTTACACACGCACACACTCACGCACTCATGGACACATGCTTACACATGCTCATGCCCCCCCACATCCACTCACACACACATGCTTACACACACACGCCCACCAACCAGGTCTGTGCTGAGGACGGTCATGTGAGTGAAGGCTGGTGTGCGAAGGAAGGTGAGCCCGTGAAAGAATGCTCCACAGGAGACCAAAGGAAAGTGATCTGAAGTGTGAAGTTAGAAGTTTTTAAAATGGACACTAAGGACAGGTCATTTCATTTTGCTTTTTAAAGAAAAGAAGAAATCAGAAGAAACAGTGACTGTGTGTTTATTCCCAGAGCGGATCAGGGAAGAATCAGAATATCCTGTGTCTGTGACTCTCTCTCCCTGTTGGCCCTGAGGCTCCCCCACAGACAGGTGTGTGATGGGGCATCTTCTGCCCGTCCCTGTTCTGAAATCAGGGCCTCGAGGCAGCAGTCACCGTGGCTACTCCCTTTGCTCACAGTGCAGCACAAATCTCTGCGGCTCCAGCCTCTGCAGTTAATTCTTGCCTCTCTGAACTCTCTTGACCTGGGAGTGCAGGAAACTGCACAACAAGACCAGGCCAGGGAGGGCCTCCCCTAAAGGCCCACACATATGCTGGGGTTGGCAGGCGCTTTCACAGTGGCCACAAGGCAACACTCCATTTGCATACATGCAGCCACAGCCTGGTGCGTCACCTTCTGGCTATGTGGTCCTGGAGCCGATCCTGGGAAAAGCCCACGGCAGTCTCAGAAGATGCTTCCACAGCCAGTGTCTGCTCTGCACTTCTTCCTGGTCACGGCCTGGCCCAGCACGGGCGGCTGAAGCAGGGACCAGCACCGCCACGGCACACGGGCTGGTCACTGCTGGGGCTGGGGAAGGCTCAGGGCCAGCATCTCCAGCTGTGTCTCCACCAGACCCCTCACACACCAGCCTCCCCTCACCATCCCCGTCCGCCTCTGTGGACAGCTTCATTCGGAGGTCCTGGGAGCTCACAGCGTGTGGCATTGGAACCCAGGGGATGGAGCGCAGGCTCCGAGGGCCACTTCTAGGGCTAATCTCACCATTGTCTCGAAAGTTTCTAACTTGGGGATCCTAAGCTGCCAGCAAGGCTACTCTACAGTGAGGAGACTGAGGACCAGGGGCTGGGCAAAGGCAGGCAGGATGCCAGTCCCCACCCTGTGCCTCCCTCCTCCCCCAGGCTGGACCTTTAGGGGAAACCCAAAGGCAAGAATAACCTGTGGAAAACGTGTCTGAAGACAACTGAACGTGCAGTGTTTCTTGACAATAAGCTGATCACAAACCACAGCCCTCGTGTTCCAGCGCTGGCGAGGTTTCCTTCCGTGGCCACATTTCCCCCCATGCCTGGCGGCACTGCCACGGGGGCATGCCGTGGGCTCCTGGTCAGGCTGCTTTTCTCCTGCCCCTGGGCAGCCCCGTTCCCCTCGTCACAGACACTGGAATCGGCAGGACCTCGGCCACATGCACGCTGGCAAAGGCTGCCCACACCACAGCCCACAGAGGCAGATGTCACCTGGGCCTGCCATGGGTGCAGGCCCTTCTCAGCCCTTCCTTGCCTGCTGGACCCCGGAGAGAGGTGCCAGCACCAGGACAGGTCTCCTGTCCCAGAGCATTGTCTTCAGGCAAGAACAGCTCCACACGAAGGTTCCAGCCTCCGTCGAGGGCCAGCTGCCAGAGCACCCTAGGAAATGGGGTCTGAGCAAAAGAAACAACGTGCGTCTGTCCTCCGACCCCGTGGCAGCCCGTGCTTTCTCCCACGGTGCCGCCTCAGAACTGGACCCCCCAGGCCTGTGCGGCAGCCCTGGCTGCGGAGCACCAACCCACCCCCTCAGGCTGGTGGAGGGGAGCTACTTGACAGGAAACCCTTGGCCCACTTCTGAGGAAAACGTCAGAATGCTCTGCTCACCCTGATAGCAGCAGCTTCTTTTTGGGTTTTCTGAATGAAATCAAGTGCACACAGCTGCTCCTGTCAGTGGCCCTCCCCATCCCCGCCCACCCAAGCTCAGGGGAGAGCCCCACACCCTGGGCCCGACTTCCCACACGCCCGGGCCGGGAGTCTGTCCACAGCTCCGCGGTCCCGCTGGCCACACAGGCGCTGCGGTTGCCCTGCGTCCCCTGCCCGTCCCCAGGCTGCGTCAGGCTCACACACAAGCCAGGACACATTGTTCTCCAGTCAAAGTAGAGCTTTGAAAACCCACCCACCCCTCTCTGTCAGAGAAGGAGGAAGAAGGGCTAAGTCATGCGGACTCAGTATTCACCGTTCTGCCCCTTTAATCGCCTGGTGAGTGCATCATTGCGTCTGTGTGTAGCTTCTCACCTCCAACTTCACTGCACAAAACCGACACACATGCATGTCCCTCCACCGGGTTCTGAGTATTGTGAATACGTAGGCAGTGTGTGTCTGTGCTGCACGTTCTTATGCAATGCCAGTCAGCTTCTAACCATGGTCACTTAGAATTTAAATATCTATCTGTGAACAAAAGAAACTGCACAGCAGGCACCCAGGAGACAGGCCGCGTTCCGAGGGGAGGACACCCAGGAGACGGGATGCGTTCCGAGGGGAGGACACCCCAGGAGACAGGCCGAGTTGAGGGGAGGACACCCCAGGAGACAGGCCGCGTTCCGAGGGGAGGACACCGGGAGACGGGATGCGTTCCCGAGGGGAGGACACCCCAGGAGACAGGCCGAGTTCCGAGGGGAGGACACCCGGGAGACCGGATGCGTTCCCAGGGGAGGCCAGTGCGATGGTGTCTGAACATCAGCAGAGAAGAGAAGGAGTGCGTTTGAGAACACTGATTATACCGGAATCCAGTGCGACGGTGTCTGAACATCAGCAGAGAACAGAAGGAGTGCGTTTGAGAACACTGATTATACCGGAATACTTATTTATTTCTATTTAACACAACTGGGCAGTAGTCAGGAATAGAGTTAGCTTTACCAAAACTGAAGTTCAAATTACATAATTTTAAAATATTATAGTAAGATATATATTTATACTGGAGTATTTTTACACCTTTAATATTCTCGGGCTTGAGTTTTGAGACAGATGAAAATTATAGCAGATGCTGACCCGTCGGGGAAAGGTCCGCGGAGGCCTTCCACTGGCATGGCTCGCTGCCTGTCTGTGCTCCTCGCCGCTGTGTCCCAGTGGCTGAGAGCTCCGGGCAGGCCAGTGGCCGTCTGACCGTCTGAGTGGACAGAGACTATGGCAGCAGGCAGAGGCTCACCAACCCCCTGGGCCAGTACAATCGCCTATTTCTGTGAATAGTTTTAACGGCACAGGCCACGCCCGTGTGCTTATATACTGTCTGTGGCTGCTTTTGCAGCGACATTGGCACTTGGGGAGTTGACACGGATGCCATGACCCATGAAACCTAAAATATTCACCATCTGGCCCTTGACAGGTGAGCCCTTGAGGACCCACTTGTGCTCATTCCCTCCTGGGTATTTATACACAAGCTGGCTACTCCCTGTCCGGCAGCACACACCCTATGGGGGCACCGTTGTCACCTGTCCAATACAGTACAGGGTGACAATTTAGCTGTACTGTGAAATGATTACCCTGAGTAGTTTCCTTCCACTGATTTACCACTGGACACTCTATGAAATCTGGTGGTCCAGGGGCCTGGCCTTTGTCTGTGGGCACGTGGAGAGCATGGCCGGGTGGTGGCGTGCCAGGCAGTGGTCACTGTGCTTGGAGATGCTTTAGTTAACTCTCTCTCTTCCTTTAGACTTTTGAAAAACCAAACCAAGCCAAACAAAGGAAACCTGCACAACTTAAAATAAACTTGAAAGTGATCATATACTACTAGTTTGTACTAAGTTTTTTCAGGAAAGGGAAATAAAATTTATATATACATGCAATATATTTTTACACCATCTTATTGTTAGGGAGTACTGAGTGTATCACTTTATCAGAGTGATGGGTACAGTAACGTCAATGTCATGGGTGTTCTGCCTCAGAAAGTCTAAATGGCATTCAGCAGGAACATCAGTGGGGTTGGGAGGGCCCTGCTCCCCCTCCCTCGGAGTGCGAGGCTCGGGGTCACCTATGGGGGTGCTGTCAAGGCCTGGCCTGCAAACCTTTAGTGAAACAGCTAATGTCTGTCTGCACAATGCTCCTCATGTGTTCGCTGTTGTTAACATTGTTGTCAAAAGTGATAAATAAAGTGTTAAATGGTGGATCTCTTATCCTCAAAGTGTATGGTCTGGACCGGCAATAACATGGGCACCAACTTCTAACATGGGACAGGCCCTGGGAGGGGTCCTGGGAGGGGGTGCAGAGCCATGACTTCCAGGGCAGAGAGCCTGCTGTCCCTCACCCAAGAGAGAGCCTTTCACTCCTCACTTAGGTGACCACTGACTCAACCCTGTGCTATGTCAGAGATTTTTACATTAGCAAATTTTGTAATTAACCACATTAACAATAAATAAGCTTAAAAATGATCTGATGACAAGAAATTCCACCCACATATTTTTGGTATAACACATTTTCTGGCTAAGTATAAAAACTGGTGCTTCTGGACACAACCGTGACCAGACAGGTGAATGGAAGGACACCTGAAGCCCAGAGACCCCTCTATGGGGGAGACTCGATGCCCCCCTGACTTCCCCAGAGTCCTGACCCACACAGCTACACACAGCATCTTCTCCGAGGCCCGTTCTTCTTCCTCAATCAATTAAACATTGTTCTAAAAAATTACTTTGTTTTATCAAAGAAAGCGAATATTACATAAGATATAAAGTTTTCAAACTAAAAAATCTAATTTTATGCCTTGTTATGACATAATTTTCAGAAATACACTGTAAGCAAGAGAGCCAGAGCATGGGTAGATATTTGTACTGTAGGATGTTAATATCACAAAACGTTTTTATTTTTTATGTTTCCCACACTATAAATATTACTTTTATTAAGTCCTGGAACTTACTTTTTTCTGCTCACCAACCATGGTACATAGCTTGTATTATAAAAGAATTCAATGATAAAATCAGTTATAATTTATGAAGAGCCACTTTTTAGAACAATGTATTCATTTATTAAATAAGAACTGCTTATTATACAATAAATTATTTTCTTTAATCATCATACATAGTTCTCTTTTACATTAGGCAAAAAAACACAAGATTTTTTTTAATCTTAAGACATTTGATGAAAAATTAACAAACTGTCTTAAAATATGTCAGTGTTTTGTCTCAAAACATGTGAAGGGCCTGGATTAATCCTGTCTTTTTAGAATGTTTTAGCAAACTGAACTGTGGGCCCTGATTACATTTCAGAAATCACAAAATAACTGCAAACAGAAGAAACAACTCTCATCAACAAATACACCAGGTAAAGAAAACACACGTGCACGCCACACTAGGAAGGTCAGGTTTAGGAGCAGCCACTGAGGCGGGTGCTGCTGACTGGGAACAGGGCCATGGTCTTCTTGAGCTCCTTGTAGCTCCAGTGTAGCTGCTCCACCTCCGCCCTGTGCTGAGCCCGCACCTGGCCCAGCTCCTGCAGGAGGTGCTCATTGGTGCTGACCAGGGAACTGGAGAGAACACAGGGCAGCCATGTCCCGGCTCTGCTGCTGTCCTCTCCAGCAGCATCCTCTCTCACCTGGCCAAGCCTGCCTGTTGACCCCACATGCCCCAGCCATGCCCAGGTCCACGAACTTGTCCCCTCCTGATCTCTCCTGGCGACTACCCATCTGCCCCTTGCCTCCAGAGTGGGGGGGGGGGGGGGGGGGGGTCTGACTCAACCCCTCAGCCATCACCTGCCCTGCAAGCACTGGCGGCATCCATGAAATGGATCCAACTCAGCATGAATAGATGGATCCCTCAATGCTCTGGCCATGCATGGTTTACTGAAAAGACTTGTCATAGTCTATGGCCAGCAAAACAATGTTCTAATTCTAGAAAAGACTCCACACTGAAGTATTTCTAATTCCCAGTCAAATATAAAGGACCCTTTAAAAAATCCTGACATTGTAACAGTGTAATAGTGCAATTGAAAAGTCCTCATTTTTAAATATTGTTAACCATTTTTAATTATAGAGGGGACTTCAGAAAGAAAGTGGTGTTGTATTTTGCCAAAGTGCGCTACTCACTTGGTCAGCAATGACTCAAGCACATTTGTGGCATCACAAGAAATGGGCGAAAGCAGGGCCATTTCCTCCACACAGGTCTCCCCACTGACAACCCCCCATGCAGGTGGCAGCCCTGTTTGCTTGGACCACAGAAACAGCCACTGACCAGGCGGAGGCTCAGAGTGGACACCTCCTGGTGAACCCCACTCCACTGCACTTAGAGGCTCTGCACCCTGCCTTGTCCACATTAATCCCACGGTGCCAATACCTTGTGACCTGCCACAGATGGGCCGTAGGGCTCCAGGGAGTGATCTTGCCTTGCCTGCCACTTCCCTGTACCGTGACTGTGTCTCATTTCCTTCCTTCTGCTGCTCCATCTAGTCTCAGTTTAGTCCCACCTCCCAGGGAACACAGACCCGCATCATCACTCATCATCACTCACATGCCCCTCACCTCTCAGAATACTGCAGCAGAAAGAAAAGCTCATGGAAGTGCCAAGTCGCACAGCAACACATGCGGGCCCAGAACACTGGCCACCAGCAGCTGCTGCTCCTGCACCCTCCACTGCTCAGCTCCACAGCCCCCACCCCCACCCCACCCCGGAACCTGTGGCTCTCCTGCAACATC